GTCTCAAAAGGAATCAACCCTGTACGTTCAGCCGTGTCGATTCTAATTGATTTCGTAATCCATGTACTATTGAAATTTGAATAAGCCCAGGTGTGTGTTACTGCTCGTGCCCAAGGGATCTCAGGGCCGTCAGAACTGATTTAAGGGCTTTTCACAGGCATTCTGAGACTGTCTCAAAAGGAATCAACCCTGTACGTTCAGCCGTGTCGATTCTAATTGATTTCGTAATCCATGTACTATTGAAATTTGAATAAGCGCAGGTACGTGTTACCACCTGTGACTGAGGGATCTCAGGGCTGTCACTCCACTTCAGGCACCTACTTTGGCCCATTCTGAGACTGTCTCAAAAGGAATCAACCCTGTACGTTCAGCCGTGTCGATTCTAATTGATTTCGTAATCCATGTACTATTGAAATTTGAATAAGCGCAGGTACGTGTTACCACTCGTGACTGAGGGATCTCAGGGCTGTCAGAACTGTTCTCAGGGCTTTTCAGAGGCATTCTGAGACTGTCTCAAAAGGAATCAACCCTGTACGTTCAGCCGTGTCGATTCTAATTGATTTCGTAATCCATGTACTATTGAAATTTGAATAAGACCAGGTGTGTGATACTGCTCGTGCCCAAGGGATCTCAGGGCTGTCAGAACTGATTTAAGGGCTTTTCACAGGCATTCTGAGACTGTCTCAAAAGGAATGAACCCTGTACGTTCAGCCGTGTCGATTCTAATTGATTTCGTAATCCATGTACTATTGAAATTTGAATAAGCGCAGGTACGTGTTACCACTCGTGACTGAGGGAACTCAGGGCTGTCAGAACTGATTTATGGGCTTTTTCACAGGCATTCTGAGACTGTCTCAAAAGGAATCAACCCTGTACGTTCAGCCGTGTCGATTCTAATTGATTTCGTAATCCATGTACTATTGAAATTTGAATAAGCGCAGGTACGTGTTATCACTCGTGACTGGGGGATCTCAGCGCTGTCAGTCCACTTCAGGCACCTACTCTGGCCCAATCTGAGACTGTCTCAAAAGGAATTAACCCTGCACGTTCAGCCGTGTCGATTCTAATTGATTTCGTAATCCATGTACTATTGAAATTTGAATAAGACCAGGTGTGTGTTACTGCTCGTGCCCAAGGGATCTCAGGGCTGTCAGAACTGATTTAAGGGCTTTTCACAGGCATGCTGAGACTGTCTCAAAAGGAATCAACCCTGTACGTTCAGCCGTGTCGATTCTAATTGATTTCGTAATCCATGTACTATTGAAATTTGAATAAGACCAGGTGTGTGTTACTGCTCGTGCCCAAGGGATCTCAGGGCTGTCAGAACTGATTTAAGGGCTTTTCACAGGCATGCTGAGACTGTCTCAAAAGGAATCAACCCTGTAAGTTCAGCCGTGTCGATTCTAATTGATTTCGTAATCCATGTACTATTGAAATTTGAATAAGACCAGGTGTGTGTTACTGCTCGTGCCCAAGGGATCTCAGGGCTGTCAGAACTGATTTAAGGGCTTTTCGCAGGCATTCTGAGACTGTCTCAAAAGGAATGAACCCTGTACGTTCAGCCGTGTCGATTCTAATTGATTTCGTAATCCATGTACTATTGAAATTTGAATAAGCGCAGGTACGTGTTATCACTCGTGACTGGGGGATCTCAGCGCTGTCAGTCCACTTCAGGCACCTACTTTGGCCCAATCTGAGACTGTCTCAAAAGGAATTAACCCTGCGCGTTCAGCCGTGTCGATTCTAATTGATTTCGTAATCCATGTACTATTGAAATTTGAATAAGCGCAGGTACGTGTTACCACTCGTGACTGAGGGATCTCAGGGCTGTCAGAACTGTTCTCAGGGCTTTTCAGAGGCATTCTGAGACTGTCTCAAAAGGAATCAACCCTGTACGTTCAGCCGTGTCGATTCTAATTGATTTCGTAATCCATGTACTATTGAAATTTGAATAAGACCAGGTGTGTGTTACTGCTCGTGCCCAAGGGATCTCAGGGCTGTCAGAACTGATTTAAGGGCTTTTCACAGGCATTCTGAGACTGTCTCAAAAGGAATGAACCCTGTACGTTCAGCCGTGTCGATTCTAATTGATTTCGTAATCCATGTACTAATGAAATTTGAATAAGCGCAGGTACGTGTTACCACTCGTGACTGAGGGAACTCAGGGCTGTAAGTCCACTTCAGGCACCTACTTTGGCCCAATCTGAGACTGTCTCAAAAGGAATGAACCCTGTACGTTCAGCCGTGTCGATTCTAATTGATTTCGTAATCCATGTACTATTGAAATTTGAATAAGCGCAGGTACGTGTTACCACTCGTGACTGAGGGATCTCAGGGCTGTCAGAACTGTTCTCAGGGCTTTTCAGAGGCATTCTGAGACTGTCTCAAAAGGAATCAACCCTGTACGTTCAGCCGTGTCGATTCTAATTGATTTCGTAATCCATGTACTATTGAAATTTGAATAAGCCCAGGTGTGTGTTACTGCTCGTGCCCAAGGGATCTCAGGGCCGTCAGAACTGATTTAAGGGCTTTTCACAGGCATTCTGAGACTGTCTCAAAAGGAATCAACCCTGTACGTTCAGCCGTGTCGATTCTAATTGATTTCGTAATCCATGTACTATTGCAATTTGAATAAGCGCAGGTACGTGTTACCACTCGTGACTGAGGGATCTCAGGGCTGTCAGAACTGTTCTCAGGGCTTTTCAGAGGCATTCTGAGACTGTCTGAAAATGAATCAACCCTGTACGTTCAGCCGTGTCGATTCTAATTGATTTCGTAATCCATGTACTATTGCAATTTGAATAAGCGCAGGTACGTGTTACCACTCGTGACTGCGGGATCTCAGGGCTGTCAGTCCACTTCAGGCACCTACTTTGGCCCATTCTGAGACTGTCTCAAAAGGAATCAACCCTGTACGTTCAGCCGTGTCGATTCTAATTGATTTCGTAATCCATGTACTGTTGAAATTTGAATAAGTGCAGGTACGTGTTACCTCTCGTGACTGAGGGATCTCAGGGCTGTCACTCCACTTCAGGCACCTACTTTGGCCCAATCTGAGACTGTCTGAAAAGGAATCAACCCTGTATGTTCAGCCGTGTCGATTCTAATTGATTTCGTAATCCATGTACTATAGAAATTTGAATAAGGCCAGGTGCGTGTTACTGCTCGTGCCCAAGGGATCTCAGGGCTGTCAGAACTGATTTAAGGGCTTTTCACAGGCATTCTGAGACTGTCTGAAAAGGAATCAACCCTGTACGTTCAGCCGTGTCGATTCTAATTGATTTCGTAATC